GCAGTGCAAGCTTTGAGTCCGCGCAATCGGCCGATTGTCTTCCCCGCTCGGCCCTCGGCGCATCCATGATCCACTGAGATGGGCCTGCTCTGGCCAGGCGCGTGGCATCTCGATCTCGCCCCAAAGCTCGACTGACGTTTCTTGTCCTGGCACGGGGGGGGCAGCCCCGGGCAGCGGGCGCCGTTGACGTGCGACCATGCCCATGGGCTGCGGGAAGACGCCGCAGGCCGTCATCGCTTGCACAAGGGCGGAAAAGCGTGCCGCCAGGAGTGCCGGGCAGGCTGTCCTAGGTCTCGCCGTGAGGTTCCACGGCGCTATTGTGCGTCTGACAAGGCTTCTCCAGTGCCCTGGAGAGGCTGACCTTGGCCGTCGAGCTCAACTTCGGGAGGCGGTTCTGGAAAGCGCCAATGCTCGGTGCGCTAGCGCGCCCAATCTTGGACCACCCCTGAAACAATTCTGGAGCCACTTTGGAAGCCCGTCTGCTTGGCCCTGCAAGTGTCCTTATCAGACTGATCTCGAATCCGCTTGGCTAGCCTGTGGAGGTCTTGCTTTTGGCGCAGGGGGCGACTGTGGAGGCCGCTGAAATTCCGCTGGGGGTGGGGAGGTCCTCGGAAGGTTCAGCTGGCACAGCGCGTGGGGTCGCAACTCCCGGCCCGATCTCGTGGCATGTCCCAAGAAACCGCCGTCTCACAGCTCAACTGTCAGGATCGCTGTTGCCCACAAAGGACCTGGAGAGGCCCGGGGCTCTGGCCGAATGGGTGTTCCAGAGAGCCGACTCTGCTGAGTGCCTCGTCCAGCGTGGAGGCCCCGGGGCCGCTTCGACCGTCGCCGTCAAGGTTGGCGCCCAACTTCGGCGGCGCAGCGCGTGCGCGGGCCCGCCATGCTACGGCAAATGCAGCGCCTCAGCTGCAGGCGAAAACTTCGCCCGCTGCTGGGTGGAATTCGAGGAGGCACGAGTCGCCGCCAGAGGTAGGGTGATCCGAGGAATTTCTGCGCGAGGTGCCGAGTCCGTCGTTTCAAAGCTTCCCTGGGCAAGGTAGGGCCCTAAATCGGGAGGTAGCTGTGGGGTGGATGGGCCGACAGCGCCAGGCGCCGCCTGGCGTCCAACTGCATGCCCGCGGTGCCGAAGAGGCCAGGGCGCGGCTGCGCCCGCGGCACGTCGCGGTCACGCTGCAGGGAGAGGTCAGGAACGTGGTGGGGCGGGGCGAAGACGAAGTCGAACATTCTTTTTCCTGCCTCCCTCCTAGCACCTTCTGAGGTAGAAGCCGTCCGGCTTAGTGCTCTTCGGTTCCTGATTGCATGGCCTCGCCCTGCGGGCCCCCCCCCGAAGCCAGCGGAAAAAATGAGGGGGGGGAAGAAGCCAGCGCCGCGGGGCTCCGTCGCGACCCATGGGCCCTGCCTTCGAGCTGGTTCCGCCCACGGGGTCTTATGCTGCCGAGCAAGTCTCGAGGTCAGCTGCGAGGATATTCCCATCCAGGCTTCGCCGAGTCCCGGTTGGCTCGCCGCCGTCGCGGGAGCGGCCGCTCGCCCTCGACCCCCCGCGGATCCCGCCTCGCGCGCGCGTGTCGGACTGCCGCGGGGGGGGGGGGGGGTCGCCTCGAAGATGCGTCTCCGCCCCCGCGGCGATGCGCGCTCCCGCTCGCGGGGCGCCCCTGGGCGCCGTTGCTCCGAGCCCGCCCGCCCGCCCAGTCGGTGCAGTTGGCGATGTAGACGCGGATCAATGGCGGCCCCCTTCGAACGATGGCGCCCTGAAGTGGGCCGCCCCCGCCGCGCCCCCCGAAGGGTTGGGCGAGCCCTCCTGGGGCCTTGTTATGGCGCTACCTGGGCCGCGCAATTCCTCCCGATTGTTGCGGCGCTCCATGTCTGCTGCAGTAGTCTGCCCCGTGGGAGATGCGGGGTCCCTCTGGTTCGCCGAAGTCGACGAGGTCTAAGGGGTCTGCTTCTCTGACCGCGCTGGCGACGGCTGCCAGGCCAACTAGGCGGGTACCCCAGCGCCTGTCCCAGCGCTCCTGGCACCACCGCTTCTCGATCTGCTCTCTGCCCCCCCCCTCCCCCTCCCCGATCCGATCCCGGGCGGCGCCCCGCGCTGCTGGCGCCCGTCAACGGACAAGGTTCTCGGGGGAGGCGAATGAGACGGTGCCCTGGGCAGTTGCGCGGGCGCCCATCGCGTTTGTGCCAGCTTCGCATTATCGCATTCCCATGCCTAACTTCTGCGGGCGCCCCCAACGCCCGATCCCGCGCTGGTGGCATCGCGCTTCCATTTCGGGGCAATTTCGCGGCGCCCTCAGCGTCGCCCCAACGCCCCCAGCGCAACTCTCTGCCTCTTCCCCCGCGCCCAATCCCAGAGCGGCGCCCCGCGCTGCTGGCGTCCGCCAGGAGGGAAGGGTCTCTGGGCAGACGGGTGAGACGGCGCGTAGGGCAATTGCGCGGGCGCCCCCAACGTCTGCCTCAGCGCTAGCGGGCCCGCGGGGGTTGACCCCGACCCCGTCAGCCCCGGCAG